GAGTGGAGGATGGGCTCCGATTTGAGGAGGCAGCTTTCGCGGATGGAGGCAGACCGTTTGTGGTGACACCCAGGGTCAGCTCCCCGCCCCGCCCCTCCTCTGTCTTTACCACTGGAATAGAAGGTCAAGGCGGGGCCTCTCACCCCTACTGCCCTGGACTCTGTCCCAGAGGGGCCTGGAAGGGCCGCTCCGGAAACCCCTGAGTCTCGATTCCCATGCCGCCCCGCCCTGCTCCTCACCCAGATAAGCAGCCCCCTGGGGCACAGTCTCGAGGAAAGGGGCGTGGCTTCAAAGTAGGGGGCTGGGAGAGCTCGCGTGGAATTTGCATCTTGAGATGCAAATTTGCACCATCAGTCTCCTAGCATCCCCCAAGAGTCATCTGGGTGGCTGAGCAGAGCCCAGGAGGGCAGGCCTGACCTGCCTGACAGCTCCTGTCCTTGGCCCAAGGGCAGCACTGTGCCCAGGCGGATGAGACAGCCCTGCCAGTCACCCAGCACAGGCATGACTACCCTCAGCCTTCTCTCAGTCCTGCCCCCATCCCCGTACCCCATTCCTGTCCCCGCCGTCACCACGCCAACCCCCCCCTCCCCGCCTCAGGCCTCACGCTAACCCCAATCCAGCTTTCCTCTCTGAGACCTACCCCTGATTCCAGTCCCACCACTGATGCACTTCCCAGCCCTGACCTTGTCCTCATCACCAGCCCATCCAACCATTAAGAATCATGTTTTCGGGGCACCTGGGTGGCTCCGCGGGTTAAGCATCTGACTCCTGGTTTCAGCTCAGGTCATGATCTTATGGTTTGTTGAGTCTGAGCCCCACAGCAGGCTCTGTGTTGACAGCATGGAGCCTGCTTGGGATTCTCCTCCTCTCTCTGCCCCTCCCCTGCTCTCTCCCTCTCCTCCCTTCATGTCTTTACTCAAAAGTCCCCTTGTCAAAGAGTGCCTCCCTGGCCCCTCTGTATCTAAAGTTTGCTTCTTATCCGTTTTTTAAAATATATATACATTTTTTAATTTTTTAAATGTTTATTTTATTATTTTTGAGAGAGAGAGAGAGCGGGCGAGCAGGGGAGAGGCAGAGAGCAAGAGGGAGACACAGAATCCGAAGCAGGCTCCAGGCTCTGAGCTGTCAGCACAGAGCCCGACGCGGGGCCTGAACCCACAAACCGTGAGATCGTGACCTGAGCCACCCAGGCGCCCCTGCTCCCTCATACTTTATAATTTCCTTCCCTGCTTTGTTTTTTCTCTTCAACGCTTATCACCATTG